ATCCCATTAGTAAATTAATACATGTGGAACATTTGAGTGAATTTGATAAAATTCTTATCCTCCGAATTCGAGAATAAGATTTTTTTTAATTTTTGGTCGAATTTTGGTTATTTATTTATTTATTTTATACGACCCATAAGAAATTTGATTTGAACAGACCTTTTGCGTTTTATGATAAATTGGGCTTGGATAAGGTCCGATACCCGTCTATCTATATGGACAAATTATGAGATTTGGAAACAAGTCTGTTAAATCTTGCAAACAGAGGTAGATAATTTTATTTTATTTTTCGTTCTCTCGTCTTCTCTTTCTTTCCCTTTTTTTTTATATTTTTATTTTCATTTGCCGTCAAATTGGTTCTGCCATGTTTCTAAAACCAGACATTACTATGGTTTCTGCAACATGCAGAAACTAAGAAACCAAACTCTGTAACCCTTTTCTCTCTATATATTCTTTTTTTATTATTTAATTCCTTGCAAGTGGGTGACAATTGATGGGTGACAACTCTACAAACTGAGAAACCAAACCTAATTGATATTCTTGCGCAGAGAGTCAGAAACCTTTGTAAATTGAGTAATGCTATCTATCATCATAATGATAGATCACTGATTATGTGGCAACCCATTATCCTTTATATTTCTCTTTCTGTCTCCTCTTTTTCTCTCTCACATGAATTAAATTGTCCAATCATATTGCTCCACATAAACTTCTGCATCACTCGTGATCTATCATCATAATAATGATGATATTATTATTCTTATTAATTTTGTCTTTTTCTTTTTTATATTATTATTATTATTATTATTATTATTATTTGTCTTTATTTCTTTTTTTTTAATTTAGTTTCTTTTCTTTTCCATTTTTTTGTTGATTATTGTTATTGTTATTATTATTTGTATTTTTTGCTTTAACAAAATTGAAACTAACATTTTTTTTTTTTTTGCCAGGGATTCAACTTTTTGAAGTGAATCAAGGATTTTGAGGTTCAAAATTTCCTTTGTGTAGAGGTTAATTTTTTATTTTTTATGTTGCAATTATTTTGAGTTCATGAAATATATGTTTATGAACAAATTTAAAATTGCAAACCTTTTCGTGCACATTGAGGACTCACCATCCAATGTACTTTTTGTTTGGGGACCAAGGACCGGCTCCTTCAACCGTCCAAAACATTTTGTGTTGAGGACCAAAGACTATTCTTTCGACAGTCTAAGGCACTTCGTATTGAGGACCAAGGACCATTCTTGTACCATCCAAGGCACTTTGTATTGAGGACCAAGGACCGTTTTTCGACCATCCAAGACACTTCGTGTTGAGGACTAAGGATCGTTCTTCGACCGTCCAAGGCACTTCGTACTGAGGACCGTTCTTCGACCGTTCAAGGTACTTTGTGTTGAGGACCAAAGACTGTTCTTCGATCTTCCAAGGCACTTCGTGTTGAGGACCAAGGACCTTTCTTCGATCGTTCAAGGCACTTCGTGTTGAGGACCAAGGACCTTTCTTCGATCGTTCAAGGCACTTCGTGTTGAGGACCAAGGACTGTTCTTCGATCGTCCAAGGTACTTTGTGTTGAGGACCAAGGATCGTTCTTCGACCGTCTAAGGTACTTTGTGTTTGGGAGACTCGTAAGTTTATACGATAACCAATTTAAGAGATTTAATGCCCCTTTTTTTACTTTTTTTTGGTAGGTATGGCTGGAACAAGTTCTAATGCTAAAGTATACTCTGACATACCCGAAATTATTGAGCTCAAGAATCAAGGCAAAAGTTATCTGCATTTCAAAGCCGCTGATGTGAAGTACCATGGTCAAATTGGCATACAAGTTGAACTCAAATTTAGTATCCATAAGCCAACGACAGATCATTCTCTTGACCTTTTGAAACCATTGTCGAAGTTGCATATGCCCACCATTAGTGAATGTCATGAGAATTTGGATGCCGACAGGCCCAACCGCTCTAGCAGTCACCTTCCATTTTTGTGTCCCCCACCTCATCATTCCCAGAGCATGGAGTGTATCCCAAAACCTGTAATCTGTGAGAGGATTAATAATAGAGAAATACGATGGGAAGTACTGGCCAGTCGAGGAGAGATTTCTTTTCTTCCAAAATTCTGGGAGTGGTCTTTATAGATCAAAAAACTTTTACTCAAGAGGAATCTTCGAGAGTTAGCTTTTGCAGTTGGTTCTGCCACAAAAGATTACCATCGCCCAAACTCTATCTATAGAGCTTTATGTGAGGTTTGGGGTCCAGAGATCAACACTTTTATGACTGCCAATGGTGAGATCGGCATTTCTCTTTAGAACATCCACGAGATAAGTGGGCTTTCGACCATGGGCCATTACTATGAGGAAGTAGTCTCAAGCCTTTCAGAGTTGACAGTTCACCTTCCCAAGTCTTGTCTGTACCTTTTTAATGTTTTCACATTGATCGCCCAATCGAATGAATCTGATTGGGTCACTCATGAAAATTGGATTGATTTTTGGTTTCATGAGAATGGTTGTGTCCAGAATCCTTGACAACACAAAAATCATAAGAATTTTATGAATTTAAATCCATTCAATAGGCGTCAACAAAGAGCATTGAAGGAAATACGGAGGCCCGTGGTGGCAGATAAGCTGAGAGATATTACTCGTAGGGATCGACGTCATTGGAGCGATTTGCCAGTATCTCTATCTATGGAAGAAGAAGAGGAATTGGAGATAGCAGCTTACCTCTCCCTGTGGCTTTGTCGTTTCGTTCTTCCATCAGGTGGTAAATGTATACGAGTTGGGACTTTCAAAGCATCTTCTAGGATGGCAGACGGGTATACTTATAGCCTGGTTCCGCCCATGTTAGCGAGCATCTATAGAGGACTTACACAAACAACTAACTATCAAACAAACCCGGACCTTGGCACAATTTCACATTCATTTCCTGGGCATTTTCTTTATGCTTGGGCGGCAACTTATTTTGTCCTAGGTGTGCTCATGTGGACAAGAGTTATTCTCACCCTATAATTCGAAGATATGCTGGCACTCTGAATGCTTTCCAGTCTTAGGAGCACAATGTTGTTGATTGTCGGGAACTTATTCGTGGAGCGATGGACACCAATGACTTTTGCTGGAATCTATTACCCTCATCCTCTCATCCCGATCTACGTGTGGATGACCAACCGAGGTCTGCAGATACTTCAAAATTCATGATGAGTATTCGACCTGGATTTGTTTCTTATCGTCGAGGAAATTCACCTTTCGCTCTTGAGTGGTATAATCCTCATAAGTTTGCGAGACAACTTGGCTTTAGACAGAAACTTCCTGGTTCACCAAGAAAGTTGAACATTGCCCCAATTGCGGGTGACATGTATCGAGTTTGGTTGTCTTTGACTCCAACAAAAAGTGGGTCTGTATTTCATACTCTAGAGTATATGAGGGATACACATCAAAACGTTGACTAGGCTTGGTGGAATAGCGATACGTTGCCACTCTTGACCAGGGTTCATGTGCAAGTCTTATTTTCTAGTGGGAGCCGTGACTTTATTCTTGGCCCGACTCCGAACAGGGTTATAACTAGAGGCTTAAACCCTCCAAAAGTTACTCCTGAAGAGGCTTCTCGAAAGAGGGATCCAAACCAATAAAATGAAAGAGGCATTAAGAGAATTAAAATCATAGTTCCCCCAACAAAAATTACTGCCATCTCTGATAAGGTGCCAGAAACAATTTTGATTCCAAATCGCAGTAGTCCTAGAGATTGAGCATCCCAACAACCCGGAAAAACTTTAAGTCTAGAAGATGAAAGTTCTAGAGATCAGGTATCGTTCTCTCTCCATTTTTTTTAATGTACTGCTTGTATTTGATTTCCTGTAATCTCCAATTTCAGGCTCCTCTTTCTCGAATATACAAAATCAAACGACCAGTAGGACCAAAACCACTTCAAGCTATTTCAAGTCATTCAAAAGGTGAAGTAGGAGCTTCTTACATTAACATTAGCCTTTCGAACACACCATCGGATGGTGAGTTTTTAGACCTGTTGCCTAGAACACGAAATGTAGGTATGTTCCTTTTTTTTTTGCACTCCTTTTTTTAATCATACTTCATTTTTGTAGGTTTTTCGGGCATCCCTGAAGGACTTAATTTCTCCGTGAATCCAAACTTTTTGCAAGATCAGATTGGTGAGAACGATGGGTGAATTGATGCACTTCAAGGAATAGATGGTATTTACGATTCTCATGACCCTCCTTGCAAATATCTGAGCACCATTAATGGAGGTACCTCGGCGCTTATCATGGATAATTTTAATACTGAAGATGAAGTGAATTCAGGGACCGTGAGAGCTAACATTTCAGAGATCAATCAAGGAGTCCCAATCGTTCCATCTTCGTTGGCTTTAGTCAGTATCCTGCCTTCACAAACAAATAATCATCGGCCTATACCAATTTGTTCTTTCATGTCTAGTCCTCCGCCTAGAATTACTCAAGAGTCTCCTTATCTGAAGGCTGCTCTGCAAGAAACTATGACTAATTACCTTCAGAAATGTTTTAAGGATGTCTTGAAGTATGGATTCTCCAATATTCGATCTTGGTGGGATGAAAATAATTTAATTCTTTAGAATGTGATTACCAACTCATTCCACATAGACCTAACGCCTTTGATGAAACGCATGGATGTGTTTTTGAAAAAAAGTTGACTCTTGTTTGAAAGAAAACAACACTTGGATTGTCCGACTGTTGAAGAAAAGGCTGAAGAGTTGAAACTTTTGAACATTCAGCTGGAAGTAAAGGATTCTATGTGTTCTTCGTTGAGAGGCAAAATTAGTGAGCTAACCTTCAAGCTAGATAGACTCCGTGATGAACTTCAAGCCCAAGAGGAAAAGAAAAGTATGATTGGAACCAAGAAGGCAGCATTGGAAGAAGCACAGACAAGAGATGTCGCTACCATAGCATTCATTGACCAGAAAAAGGAAGACACTTAAAGATAGTTTCCTGTGAGTGATCAATGTCGAGTGATCCTGATGAAGTCATGAATTTTTGATCTTTTTTTTAAGACCATATTGTATGAATTTTGACTTGCTATTTTTATTTGGATGAACTTTTATTTTTCGAGTTTCTTGTGTTTTTTTTATAGCAATTGGTAAACAAATTGAATGAATTTATTAGTTGTAACTGAACTTGAATTTATAATTTATTCAAGCTACCTACGTACCCAAACGGGATAAGTCGAAAGTAGTTCATTACAAGAACGTAATTTTTTTACAATGGAAAATTACATAAAAAAATAAAGAACTTCAGGTGTAAAAATGCTATAAAAATTTTCCATTGATAGGCTCTATTTGCAGTCCATCTTTGTCGATGATCTTATACGCTTCGTTAGTGAATACATGAGTGACAAGAAATGGACCATCCCATTTAGGCTGAAACTTGTCCCCTATTTTTCTTGTGATTATGATTGGCCTACGCACAGAAAGTACCAGATCTCCAACTTGAAATGATATTGGTCGCACCTTCTTGTTGAAAGATTTGGCCATTTAAGATTGATAGCACTCCAGGTGCATTTGTGTTGCTAACATTTTCCCATCCAAAGCTTCTAATCTTCCAATCGAAGACGGGCATTTTCTTCAGTTGTCAAACCTTCTTGGATGGCAACTCAAAGTGAAGAAATTTGACACTCCAGTAGAAATACAGCTTCCACCCCATATACTAAGACATAAGGAGGGGCTTGTGTTGGAGTCCGATAAGTAGTTCGATAAGCCCATAAGACTTCACTAATTTTCTCATGCCAATCTTTTTTTGCTTTGGAGACAACCTTGTTCAGCAGATTGCATAGTGTTTTGTTGAATACCATTGTCAATCCATTAGCTGCCGCATTGTACATGGACAAGTTGTACTGTTTGAACCCAAACTTTGCACATAAATTGTTTATATGGCTATTGCAAAATGGCTTGCCATTATCAGTTATGATATGTCGCGGGACACTGTATTGATAAATGATTTGGATACGAATGAAATCTGCGACATTTTCTTTCTTTACTTCCTTCAATGGTATGGCTTCAGCCCACTTAGAGAAGTAGTCGATCCCGACGAGGATGTATGCATGCCCTATTGAAGACTTTGGAGTTATAGGTCTAATTACATCAAGACCCTATGTGTCAAACGGTCATGAAGCTACTATTGGATGTAATGGTTCCGAAGGTTGATGGATGAAATTCGCATGGATTTTGCACGCTTCACATTTTCTTGCAAAATCTATGGAGTCTTGTACCATAGTTGGCCAATAATACCCCATCCTCTTTATTCGAAAATGGAGTTTGGGTCTAGATTGGTGGGCACCACAAATTCCAGAGTGGGCTTCCTCCACGACCTGCGTTGCTTCATCATTACTTAGGCATCGAAGGAAAACTCCATCAAATGATTGTCGATAAAGTTTTCCCTTATAAAAGATAAAGCGAGAGGCACGCCTCTTGATTTCTGTTTTTTGCTGTGGATTATCTGTTAGCTTTTGATGTTGAAGAAAATTGATTATTGGTTGTCTCCAATCTTCTCTATCCTCATCCTCGACCACTTCGACACTATTATTTTCTTCCAAATTACTGGGTAGCAATGACGGAAGCACCCATCTTTGAGCAATTGATATGGAGTGGGAAAATTCTTCATCTGATCTAGCTAAAATAATAGCCAAATTAGCTAAGGCATCAGCTTCCCTATTTTCACTTCTCGGGATGAACTTGATTTTTATTGAATCAATTCGTCTCATAAGCATTGCCACATGTTTATGATATGGATTCAAGTCTGAATTACGGACTTCATATTTAGCTAAAAGTTGGTTGATTATGAATTTAGAATCTCCAAAGGCTTCCAGCTGGTGGATATCCATATCTAAAGTTGTCTCTAAGCCGATGACAAGAGCTTGATATTCTGCCACATTATTGAACATTTCTCTGTTAAGGCAAATGAGTAGGGCATGACAAGATCATGAGGAGTGATGAAGACTACTCTTGCTTCAGTACCATAACTTCAGGCTGCCCTGTCGAAGTATAGCCTCCATGATGGTATGATTTCGATGAATAGAACTTCTTCATCGGGAAGGTCTTCCTGAAGTTCCCATTCCGCTGGAATTGGGTGGTTAGCAAGGAAATTCGCCAAAGCTTATCCTTTATTGGCCTTTTGTGAAATGAATTTGATGTCGAACTCATACAACAGTAATGCCCATTTTCCAATCCTTCCAGAAAGAATTGGCCTGGACATTTTGTACTTCAATGGATCAATCTTTGAAACAAGATTGATTGTGTGTGATAGCATATAATGCCTCAACTTTTTAGCTGTGAAGATTAACTCGAGGCATATTCTTTCAATAGGGGAATACTTCATTTTAGCGCCTACCAGTGTCCGGCTCAAGTAATAGAGTGCATTCTCTTTTCCTTCATCATCAACTTAGGCAAGAAGTGCCCTAGAGAATATTCTTGTGCTGCAACATAAAGAGTCAGCGACTTCCTTGGAACTGGAGCTGTGAGTACTGGTGGATGAGACAAATATTGTTTAATGCTTTGGAAAGCATTTTGACAAGCGTCATCCCATTCAAATGGTACATCTTTCTTCACCAATTTGTTGAATGGATGACAACATCGGACAAGATTAGAGATAAATCTTTGAATGTATGCAAGTTTTCCTTGAAGATTTTTCAACTCACGTACATTTCTTTGCTCTGGCATGTTGATTATAGCTTCAATTTTTGATTGATCTATTTCAATGCCCCGGTGTCGAACAACGAAGCCGAGAAATTTTCCAGAGGTGATGCCAAATGCACATTTCAATAGATTCATCTTTAATTGATGTCTTCGAAGTTTTTTGAAAACATCCTGTAAATCTTGCAAATGATTGTCGCGTCTTTTTGATTTAACAACAAGATCATTCACATAACATTCCAAGTTCTTATGTAGAATATCATCGAAAATCTTTTGCATTGTCCACTAGTAGGTTGTCCCCGCATTTTTTTTATCCAAAAGGCATAACTTTGTAACAATATATGCCTTTAGGGGTACGATATGATGTGAGTTCCTCATCTTTTGGGTTCATCTGTATCTAGTTGTATCCAGAAAACCCGTCTACGAAAGATAAGACTTCATATCCGATAGTTGCATTCACCTTCAACTCTGTTATAGGAAGTGGAAAATCATCTTTCGGACATGCTTGATTCAGATCCCGAAAGTCAACGTAAATTCGTAATCCCCCGTTTTTCTTTTTGACAGGAACAATGTTTGCGATCCATGTTGGGTATTTCACTCCGCATATAAATTCAACTTCAATAAGTTTATTGACTTCCATTTCAATTTGAGGAATCAGTTCTGGTCGAAATCTTCTTTGAGGTTGTTTGACCGATCGAACTCCATGTCGTATTACAAGATGATGCACTGCAACCTTAGGATTTAACCCTGACATTTCTTTGTAAGATCATGTAAACACAT